GAGACATTCCTCTGGTGTGCAGCTTCCAGCACAGATCCTCCTCCAAGAGTACTACAACAGCTTCTGTCTTCTATCTAGGCTTAAAGTCAGATATAAATGGATCTAGGTGATTTGTCTCATCCTACAGCCCCTCAAGCTGAAACGCCTCCACATATGCTCTACCACCAAAAATGGTATATCAGAGATTAGCTGGAAACTACACAGTACAGCAAGATTTACTGATTACTTTAACAAAAGAGAGGAAGGAGTGTTCTGTTTAAACAAATCAGAACTACATCTTGTTGCAAAGATACACTCACAACTATTCTTCATCACTAAACTAGCCCCCACATCCCAGCTGCTTTTATAAACCAGTAAAGGTAGGTGTCAAACAAGCACCCAGTAAGCCTTACCTCTCTAAGGAAGCTATTAACACCCTCTAGTTGTGCAAACACAGAATTACCCATTACATCTAAACAAACAAAGTTACATCCACTGGACCTGTCTGAATAATGGTGTTAAGTCAGTGAGTGACTTCATCCACTGGCTGGTGCATACTGGTTACAATAAGCTAAACAGTTTTTAGTAGGCCGAAACATAACAGCCTTTTGACCACCCAAACAGCTCCATTGGATGACTGTGTAGACACAATGGTGGCAGAGAAACAGAAACAAAGTAGGCCTTGAAACAGTGACTGGTTAGATACACTGAGAGTTTCGTACAAATATTACTCAACTCAACATTCTGTTCAATTAATTGAACCCAGTATCCCTGAAAGCCAGTGAGCCCCTTGAAAAAACAAAAGAAAGGAGACACTCAGGAAGTACCATATCAACACCATAATCTATTTCTCCATCCCAGAAATCAAGCAGTGCTTAAACTGAACAGCTTGCTGAGGTAATAAGAACATCTCCAGAAAGCTATTTAAATCTTATCAACCGCAGGGCAGACACCAACTCGCTTAGGAAAGGCCAGAATCCCAATAATATACCATATTTCTAGGCTCAGCCCAGCAGGGCAATCCAGAAAGATGGCAGGGTAGGGGTCAGAAGCTGCCACTACAAAGTCAAAGATAACCAGCAAGGCTATGCTCCACTCATCTAGTTTTCAGTGTAAATAACCTACTGGAATGAGCAAGCTTGATGGCCTATGGCAATGGTTCCCAATCTTGTATAACCCAGATGTTCTTGGACTGCAACTCCCAGAAGCCTCAGCCAGCACAGATAGAGATGAAGGCTACTGGGAACTGCAGTCCAAGAACATGTGGGTTACTCAAGGTTGGGAACCACTGGTTTATGGCAAACAAATAACATGGCCCCTAGTGGGGTTATCAAAGGCCTCAATGTATCCCATGTCATCCAAGAATTGCACGCACCTGAGCTAACCAGGTCCCTTTAGACAGCTGTAAAGACCCTACAGCTATAACTTCCTGCTCAGAGATGCATTATGTCAACCTCACAACCACCATTACGGCTGAAACATACAACATACATTAAAAACTTCCTCAATTTCTAAAAGCTGGCAAAGCTATATGAGGCCACTTAGCTCTTTGCGTCTTTGGAGGTTTTGGCAATGTTATAGAAACTTCTTGTTCCTCGGGGGACATGACTGATTGATGTGCTGCATAATTACTAAATTGTATTTAGTACTGCCGCTTTCCTTCCTTTTATGTCAGCTGATCACATCACTGAGGATTCATTGCCACAGGAATGAAAAGCTCTGTTTTTGCACACAGGGTGGTCTCTGTGTGTGTGTGTATGTGTGTGTGTGTGTATGTGTGTGTGTGCATGCGCGCGTGTGCGTGTGTGTGCGTGTGCATGTATGTGTTGTTTTTGTTTTAAGCACAGATTGATTTCCTCATAATACATCAGGGTCTTTCACTTGCAAGACACTTAGGTATCATATTAAATTTAAGTGCACTCTTGTGTGGCCTGGACAGACATTAACTATCACTAACCAAGTTTTTCTGATGCCCAAAGTACAATTATTGTGCGAAAGCATGACATCACTGCTTGCAGAAATTCTCAGGCCTTGGGTTAAAATAAATACATGACCGGAAAAGGGAGGACTTTTTCAATATACAGTAATCATTAGATATTTTGGAAAACTGAGACATATTATAAAATACTTGCTCTTTAGGAAAGAGAACAATGCTTCCAAAACAAGTGTTTATTTACTCAAAATACATAGTAGAGCTTGCATTTAAAAACATCAGCACTAAAGAGTATATGCTGCAGGTTGCAGAAGGAAACTGTTGAACTTTCCGATGCTTCAGACTACCGTAACTATAAGCCTTTAAAACAGGCTATCCTGTCAAGAGCTTTTGAAAGCTGGAGTCTAAAAAACTCACTGGAGTAAAAGTTCCTCATCCATGCTGCAGATAAATACAAGTTCAGCACTCAGGAAATATAATGGTAGTGAGTGCTACCATCTTTATGAGGGGAAGTTTATAAGGGCCTTTGGGTGGGGTGGTAGTTCTGAATTGCTGCTTTCTGATGACCTTTGTTCTGTGCTGTTTATTGTGTGCCAGGTATTTCTCTGATCATGCAATTGATCAGGTACTGTATATGATGGCCAGCCTATGAAACAGAAAAGATGTCACTCCTATACATGCAATGAGACACAAGTGCCAAAACCTCCTGCGGTTACCTATATCTGCTCCCACTCTGACTGTTTTGACATGAGCCGCTTCCTTGTGGCCCCTCATTTCACCATTCCCTTCAAATTATTGTAACAGACGCCTTTATATAGGTGACACTATATTTGTAGATTCAATGTTTCTGTAGCATAAATTCAAGTCCAAATATGGTGTCAGTCCTTAATATATGCTTAGAGGACACAGAATACAGCTGTTTAAAACAATATGAAAAGTTCTAACATTTTTTATATTAATAGGCTCTGGGAAAATAAATAAATAAATTATATGTATAAAGTTACTGGGCAATTTTTAGTGGCTTTGATTTCAACACATAGTTTTAAATAACTTCTGTAAATCTGTTCTCAGAAAAAAAAGCTCATACCTCACTTTTTACAAAGTATGAATGTACTAACAAATGTACAGTAGCTCGCAAACTTCTCTCACAAACATGTTTCTGGAAGCTGTTACCTGTCCAGGGCTACCTGAGAAGTACCTTGGTTCAAATGCTCTTCCTATATAGTTTAGTTCAGTGGTTCTTAACCTTGGCTGGCCCAGGTGTTCTTGGACTGCAATTCCCAGAAGCCTTCACCACCAGCTATGCTGGTTGGGGCTTTTGGGATTTGCAGTCCCAGAATACCTGGACTGCCCAAGGTTAAGAACCACTGGTTTTAGTTGACCTTTCAAAGGGCCTCATCAAACAGCATACCTCATCCCATACTCTTACTGCTAGATGTCAAATCTGTTGTCCAAATCATCAGGATGTCCTGGTTTAAGAATGTGCTAGATTTTAAGGTCTAGTGATAACACTTTGGTTGGTATATTCAACTCTTTTTCTTTTCTGAAGGAAACTTTCCAAATAACAGATTATTCTAATAACTGGCATGTCTCTGTGTCACTGTATGCTAACTCTTGGGTTCCAGGTTAGTGTGGAAACTCCTATTTTAATATCCCTGCAGGGAAATCCTAAAATCTACACATAGCAGAAACTGGAATGTGGCAGTAATTCTTAGAGGTATTAGGAGGCACAGTATAAAATGTGTCAGAGAAGTATGTATGTGTACCTTATGTATCCATTTATTAGATACACAGCAGTTTCCTTTATATCTACTAGTAAACAGTGACAAATGACACTCTTAGGACAGCCACCACAAGAGTTTAAATTTTAACCCTTTAAAAACAATTGCAAGTTTCCGTAGAAATAGGAGAATCAGACCACAGACTCTCTTTGAAAGATGCCAGAGTGTCCCAAAAGTATACACAATTCTACCATTGGAAGGACCGGATGTGGGGAGGAGGAGGAGAAGAGGAGGCAAGAATTTCAGACTGGAGTAATAATCTCCGTTGGGGAAGAAAACATCTGTCAGTAAAAAAAAAGGAAGAGCACTCTAAATCTTTGATTATATAGCTCACAAGAGAAAAAGACAAAATCATGTTCACAGTTTCACAACCAGACCAGCATCTTCCATACGCCATCAGTATTTTTAGAATCTGGCATAAAATTTGCTGATCAAAGTACACTCTGACCAAAACGAGATAGGAACAACCCACTCGGAATGATTTCCCTCTTTCTCCTAACACATTTAATAAGTTAGTGGGACCCTTCTTGCTCACAGGAGCATACGGCCAAGTTTTTCCCCAGCCTCAAGACTGCAAGATCTACCAGGCTGGAATACGAAGGGTAAAAGAAGACGGTTAGATGCTGACTTTGTTTTGTACTCACATGTAAGTAAACCTGAGTGGAATCAGTACCCTTAGGTCCACAGTCCTGCTGTATATGGATAGCTATTAACATTTCAGCACAGAGAATAATTGCACATTAAAAAAAAGTCTGAACAACAGCAATCCCGGGAGAATGCTCTCATGATCTTTAATTAGTCAACACCTGGGAGAAAATATAGCTTGTTTTTAAAATGCATTTTTAAAGTTATTAACAATCCTATTGCTACCCAAACTGGTTGACCAAAATATAGCACCCCGTTTGCTCTGTGGTTTCTCTAAGTGCAGTATTCCCCTCAGCCTTGCTGCAAAATGCAAGCAAGCGCCAACGCATTGTGATTTAGGACACTCGTGCTCTGCTTTCCCATGGGGCTTATCCAAGGGATCTTTCCCAGATGATCCGATACTTGGAAATGTAATGCTCTGCAGACAAGGATGAACAGCTACTTCCACTATGTCACATAAGCCCTGCTCCCTTGAGCTTTCCGAGTGTAGGAGATGCTATGCCTTTTCTACTCCTAGCCACATCCACGCTTTATTAACATCCTCGTCAGTAGGAAACAATGCAGGCAGGCTTTCCTCCATCAATTTTACCCTTGCCTTTGAACCTCCCCACCCCAGCATTCTCCTGCCTATTTCAAGGTCGCCATCCAAAACAGACACCAACCTTAAAAATGGACTCCCGTCAGCTGATTTCTTTCGGAACCAAAAGATTTCTTTCAAAGCGTTCAAAGCCAGGGAATCTGGTGGCGCGTGCGAGCCTCCAGGGACCCACCGGGTAGGGCTAGGACTGTGGAGGGGGGGAGGCGGCGGCGGAGGTTATTACAAATTTTCACACACGAGTATCCAGGCAACGCGAATAACCAATGACGTGTCAATTAGCTTTTTCTTAAAACCTGAGCATATGCTCTGTGTGTGTGTGTGTTAGAGAGAGAGAGAGAGAGAGAGAGAGAGAGAGAGAGAGAGAGAGAGAGAGAGAGAGAGAGAGAGAGAGAGAGAGAGAGAGAGAGAGAGAGAAGCAGAAGCAGGGTGTAGGTAGGTATATTCGGGGCTTTTGAAAGGCTGGTTCTTGCACTCGCAGCGATGCCTTCTCCAGCCTCCATCCAGCCTACAGAGCCTGGCCTTTATGAACCAGCGCGTACACACACCGCACACACACACACACACCCCCACACACACACACGCCGTCCTCCTCCTCCTCCTCCTCCTAAGGCGCCTCTAACGATAAGCGGATTCTTCCCCTGAAGAGACCCGGCGAGCATCGGCCGTGACAATTCGGCCTAGCTCCCGAAGGAAAGACTCCGCTCACTTACCTTACACGG